CAGCAGAAGTTAAAGCCCTTGGAGTTCCTGCGGAAAAATGTGGGGAAGACAGAAAGGAGAGGCTGAAAACGGAGGAAGAGAAAGGCAAAGGCTGGGTTTCCAGGCTGGGGAAGATGTGAGTCGTTGGCCCAGCAGCACGAGCAGCGAATGCCATCAGTCAACACGGAGAGCTTGCAGTGAGGGACCCCCATGCTGCTCTGCAGCCCCCCCATAACATGGGAATTGCCTCTTCTTCTGGGATACACGGCACAACTGCTGGAACGGCAGCTCAAATAGCCTCCACATCCACTGCTGGGCTCCAGCACTGCTGAGCTTCCCAGGGAACGGAGCTGGAGAACCCAGGGAGAGCAGAGCAAACACTGACTGGCAGCCCAACCCGCAGCAACCTCATGTTTTTATAGGCAGCAAAACCTGCTCTTTCAAAATTAAAGGTCTGGTCTCAAAATGTTAGGTCACCACAGGCTGCAGGATTTTTAAAAGGCACTGGCAGGGCTATTCATGTACTGCCCTGGGAGAATGTAAACAGAAATGCCAAAACAAGGGCCCATTCCTCTCACTCATGGCATTTTTTTAAATTGCTGTCACTTAGTTCACTCCCACACATCCCTATTAGTAACCCAGGAAGCTGCCAGACTCTCTTACCACTCCAAAATCAAATGTGTAATAGTACAGAGGAGAAGGTGAATGCATTTTTGTTTGAGGAACTTGTTAGTTAAAGCCTGTCCAAAAAGCCTTTTGTTGTTGCCATCTCAGGAAGTGGCTATTTCGTCAGAATGCATTTCATACCCAAAAGTACGAACAAAAAAATAGTCTGTCCCCAAAGTTTTCCTCCTACATCAGCTGGTTTTGACCACAGAGATGATCCCCAACATCAGCATTCACACCAGGTGAAGCACTGCCAAAACCTGCCTGAAAGGAGCGGGTGCTGTTTTGCAAAATTGTATTGGCAAAAAAACCCCACAAAACCCCACCAAAACCAAACCCAAACACCAGAACTAAAAAGCAGGTGTCTGAGCTGGTCCCACCTAGTCCAGGTAAGGCGCATGCCAGGCTGTGTACAGTGTGGATCCCTCCCTCCAGACAGTGTCCCCTCTGTTGGAGCCGTCTGCCAGTTTGCGTCCCACCGGTGCTCTGACTGTTTCTGTTCCTATTTACCTCTCTCAGAACTTTGGTTCTCTTTACATCTCATGTTGAATGACTTCTCGAGAACCTCCTCCCCCGACTGTGCTTGTCTAAACTCTCTCTTTTTTTTTCTTTTTTTTGCTTTTCTCTCCTCTTGTGACTTGTCTCTTCCCCCTCCGTTGCTTCTCCTTCTGTTTTACACCTGCCTGCCTTTGTGTTCGTCTGGTGTTTCCCTTTTTTTATTTTTTGATTTGCTCTGTTCCAATTTTTATGTAGGGCAGTGGTTCAGTTAATGGGAGCCCCTTGCTGTCGACATCTGGTGCTAGTACCCCCTGCCGGGGTCGGAGGCAGCTCCCACAGACTCCACTCACCCCACGCCCCAGCATCACTTACAAGACCGCTAACTCCTCGCCCGTCCACTTCACCACTTCCCAAACCGGCCTGCCCACCTTCTCCCCGGGACGCCTGAGCCGCGGTTTGTCCGAGCACAACGCGTTGCTGCGGGGGGACCAACCCCCTGCCCCACCACCCGTGGCCAGGATCGGCTCCGACCCCTACCTGGGCCACCGCGACGACGCCGACAGCCCCGCGCGTGCCGCGCCGGAGGACGCCCTCACCTTCGAGGAGGCCGTGGCCACCAACTCGGGACGGTCCTCAAGGACTTCTTACGTCTCCTCCTTGACCTCCCAGTCTCACCAAATCCGCAGGGTGCCCAACGGCTACCACTACACGCTGGGGCTCAACACGGGCCCCGGGACTGGCACCAGAGGACGTAGTTACTACCAGGAGGCCGACGAGGACGACTGGTGCTAGCGGCGCGGCCGGGCCCCGCGCCATTACAATCGATGAGTTTTATCATCTCGGAAGCCCGTGGGGCAGCCCCCGCTGCCAGAACTGCTCTGGGGCCGAAGACACTCCTGCAGCCTCTCTCCTCTCTTTAATTTTTTCTTTTATTTTTTTTTTCCTTCTATTTGTTTTGCACTAAACCAATCAAGGAAGAAGGGTCCATCCCTCGGGGGAGGGCAGACAGAGGAGGGAGCCCATCTCCCCCTCCTCGCCCACCTCCCCACTGCCTTGTCTCATTCAAAGACACCAGATGCCAAATCCACGACACACCTGAAAAGCTGGGAGAAGAGGGGGGTCCTCACCTTCCACAACAGAAAAAAGCAGACTGTTGATCCTCTTCCAGATTGGTGCAGTTTTTGTTGGGCTATTTCTTCATTAATTTATTATTGTTATTATTTATTTCTCTATTTTTGCCCCAGTCAGGGTGGGAGGCAGGGGGTTGCAAATGGACACACATGAACAAAGCTCACATCCACGTTTTGTCCCATTCACCACTGAGAGGGAAGAGATCTACCCAAGGAACTGGGAGAGGAGAAACACCCACCAGAACAAAGGACAGTCCCTTGGGACTTGATGTTCAGCCACAGCAATTCTTCTCGGCCGAGCTGGTGGCACATCTCTGAGCTGACCCAGTGGCCAGGACTCTGCTGCCACGGGGATCTCCTTTATTTTACTCACCATGTCGGGTCCTTCACAGTGACACACGGTAAAGCCACAAGAGAGCTACTTTGTAAGGACTGTTTCCTTGCTGCTGAGACTTTTCTTTCCATCCCTCTCTCCTGTCGACCGCAACACACCCTCACTGTTTTGTCTTGTTTACAATATAAGCTTGATTTAGCAAAAAAAAAAAAAAAAAAAAGAAAAAACTAAAAAAAAAATAAATCCAGAAAAAAAAGAAAAAGAGGAAAAAGCATAAAGGTGAGGAGAAGAAGAAATGCTATTGGTTTTATATCAAGCTATTAGATAGAACTTTAACTTTTCATTGTGTGCATTTTTGTAAATTGTACAGTAAAAAAAGAAAAAAAAAAAAGAAAGAAAAAGAAAAAAAAATACTCTTTATGTAGAGAATTAGTCCAATTGTCATTCCAGGTCCCACCGTTTCTACCGAATGCTCCAGTTGTTCACTACTAAGTGCCTAACCTTTGGAATCTTTCACAGCGACGATGCAACCTCTTGCTTCGATGCATCAGGCCTTGGGCGAGGGCAGAGGGGAGGGCCGGGGCTTCCCAAGGGGCACACCAAGCCCCGTGGATGATGGATTCGAGTACCAGATTGGAAGCTTACAGTGGGGAAGGCAAACATGCTTTGGGGTTGATTTTGGGTTGTTTGGTGGGTTGTTTGTTTTTTTTTCTTCTTCTTTAAATTTTCTATACTTTTCTCGGTGGGAGGGGAGTGATTGCGGCGAGCAAAACTGGCCGGTTCTCCTTGACTAGTGTTTAGGTCCTGCTGGAGAGATGCAGGTGGACAAGTAGAGCACCTGCAGAGGTGCTTCTTGGGGGAGAAGAAGTGGCTTTCGTGCTGCAGAGCAAGCCTCAGTTGGGCTGCAGGAGCTCTGGTGGTGTCCCACGGTGCCCAACTTGGCGTTGTGGGCAGGTGGAGAAGGTCTGGGCTTTATGGGTTGTTAAGAGAAGGTTTAAAAGCAAAACAAAAACAAAAACAAAAAAACAAAAAAAAAAAAAAAGAAAAACCTCTAACTCTGATTCTCAGGGATGAGATTTCTGTGTTCTTGCAACGACTCTTTGTTGGATGATTCCTTTCTTTTGTGCACGTGTGGGTTTCTGCACTTGGAGCCTGGGAAAGGGGCAGTCGCAGTGTGCTGGGGGGGAGGGAGTGCTGGCTGAAAAGCCCAGGCAGGGCCTTGTGTCCTTGGGTCTGATGAACCTTTGTAGAGCTAATCTGGGGCATGGGGTGGCTGGAGGGTATGTAGTGCTGGTGAAAGGTTAAAGGAGGATGGCTGGGAGGTGCCGGGCTAAAAATACTGGTAGGAAAATGGAGAGTGTTGGATGGGTGAATTTTTTCAGAGGATTTACCAAGCCCTGGAACTGTGAAACTTCTTTAGGTGGTTGTTTAGGATGGGTAGAGATCCTGCTGGACACTGGTGATTTGTTTCGTTGCTGGGGTAGCTGGAGGGTATTGGATGTTACCAAACCACTCAGGAGGTCTCTCGTGCTCTCAGCAGAAGTCTTTGAGCCTCAGACTGGAGCAGCCAGCTCACATCTCCTGTAGCCCTTCTGTTGAGGAAAGTCAACTCGTTTTCCTTTCCTTCTGTGTTTTTGTTTTGTTCTGTTCTGTTACGAAACACTAACCTCTGGCCAATCTCATCCCTGGATTCTGCTGAAGGGTAACATTCCTGTCTATATGCCTGTCTCTGTATCTCTGTGCACTTGGACTAAAGGAGGTGAGGTAGCCAGAGGTCCACCGTGGGGTTTGCAAACGGAGGGCTATGCAACAAGACGACACGTTCAGAAACACTCATCCAAACCACCCCAAGAGTCAGAAAGACCTTCATCCATTCTGTAGCTTTATCTGCTGGATTTTCCTGTTTCAGGCTTCAGCATGATTGTGACCAAATGTTTTATACATTTTTCCTTATCTGAAGGCACAAACACTTTATTTGAAGTTTTAAAGAGCAACGTTACTATTTTACTCCGGGATGTAGAGGAGAGGGGAGGGGGGAAAACCCACCATCTCTCTGCCAGTGCATGCGAACATTGTACCCACACTGGAGAGCAAAAGAGATGTCTTTCTGTGCTGAATCATTTTGTCTGTCCCTCCACTCCACCTTGCCCCTTCCTCTGCTGGTTTAGCCCCTCAATCTCCCCCCCAAGCCCCACACAAACACCCCGTCGGGACGCACGCAGGCCAAACCACCCCCTCGGGTCACTCCAGTTCTTAGGTAGAACACCCAGAAGAACCTCAAGTTGTCCAACCCTCCACCCACCTCCTAGAGGTCGATGACAGTGACAGATGAGCCTGACCACAATTGTTCATAACCCTTTTTTCCTCCCGTTTTTATTTACAGCCTCTCTGCTGTGTCCTCAATGCATACATGATATTTCCAAGGATCCTCATAGTGAGTTGCCAAACTTGAATTGCACCAATCAGTTTTCTGCATCCAGAACCAGTCTCGTAGTGGCTGTACTTTGAATAAGTAATGTTTGCATGTAAAATATATACATATATACATATATATAAAAGACAAAAAAAGTATGTGCATGGAAAATGTTTATCTTCGTACTTTTTTGATACAATGTATTCATCAGTTGTTAATTTTTAATTATATTTGATATAAATTGGGGGTTTGTTGCAAAACTTTATATTTAAAAAAACAGTGTTAAAAATGATCAAAGTTCCAACCATGCAACACAAGAGGAACTTTACCCAAAAAAAAAAACAAAGGGGGGGGGGAAGAGAAAAAAAAAAGGTTCTGTGATTGCCTAGTTTGCTGCCTGAGTAATATTTATCAGCCAAACTTTGAATTCTGCAGTTGTTTCTACAATTACATTTTGTATGAAGCAAAGTCCTTGAATTAAAATAAAAACTTAGCAAAAAAACCCAAACCTGACAAATTCAAAGGTGGTGTGTGCAGTGTGCCTGGTGACTGGGAGACCACCAGCCTGGGAGCAGCTTCCCATCAGTGTGACTGGTCAGGACATAGGCAGGAGGCAACTGGGCTTGGTCATCCCAGTGAGGGGTAGCCTGGGAGCTCTGGTGTGATCATGTGGTTAGTTTAGACTGAATTCAGATGCTGGAAGAGATTGGCCATGACTGTCTTTGCTTCCATCTGGGCTTCACAGATGGGGGCCTGCAGAAAAGCTGCCAAAGGGACGGAGTGAGAGGACAAGGGGTGATGGTTTCAAGCTGAAAGAGGGGAGAATTAAATTGGATATTTGAAAGAAATTCTTTGCTGTGAGGGTGGTGAGAGCCTGGCCCAGGCTGCCCAGGGAAGCTGTGGCTGCCCCATCCCTGGCAGCGTTGAAGGGCAGGTTGGATGGGGCTTGGAGCAGCCTGGGCTGGTGGGAGGTGTCCCTGCCCATGCAGGGGAGGGGACTAGATAATACTTAAGGTTCCTCCCAACCCAAACCAGTCCATGTTTCCATGATTCCATGCTCGGGCTGAGTAGGGAACTGTTGGCACCTTTGCAGTGTGGATCCAGTGTGGAGATTGCAGCTCCTGGAGTCCAATAGGCAGCAAAATTGCAGCAATATTGCAGCAAAATTGCATCATGTGGCTTGAGGGTTACCAAAAATCCCAGCAGTGATTGATTCCTGTCAGGTTTGTAACAGGGGGTTGTTTCTCTTGCTGGTGTGCACAAATGTTGGGTGTGGGGTTCCCTTTAGCATTAACCCCCATGCCTCAGTTTACCATCAGGGAAGGCATTTTCTGCTTTTTCCTATTTCTTAGGGAAAGAAAAAGTGAGAAAAGGCTGAGTCATCTCCCTGGACACTCTTTGAGGGTCATTCCCTGAAATATTTGTCTTAGGATGCAGAAAACTCAGGGTGAGACACTGACCACACCTGAGTCACAGCATTGCAGGTCATTTAGCCTTTTATATTCCTCAGAGCAGGAAAACCCAGTGTCATTCAGCTGATTCCCCATTCCAGCCACATCTGTAGATGGTGCCCATAGACTTTTGCATTCCCTCCAAGGTGGTGAATTATTCATCCCAGTGGAATTCATCCCTCTTCATCAGCCCTAAGCAGATCTCCTGCTATTTTCAGGGCTGTGGGAAGCACCATTTTCAGCAAGTGCCTGATCATAGTAACGAGCCTCAACTTATCAACTGGCCCTCTTCACATTCCAGAATATTTTGGAAAAGAGGTTGGGTTTGTACCTTCATTTGATAGAAAAAAGCAACTGTGACACTTCAAAGGGACTAAATTGCCCACCTAAGTGGGCAGTAAGTGGGTGCAGAAGGGAGGATGTGCTCTCCTTCATCTCTTACTCTGCCTCCTTCATGTCTAGGTGGTTTAAATCACTGATGTGTGCACTATTTCTTCTTTTTATATATCCATAGGCTCCTAGTAGGCTGCTAGTGAGGTGCCACTGGGAATTTGGTATCTCACTAGTGGATGTGTTGGTTCTTTAGAGGGAATTCAAAGAAAAGGAGCAATAACAAAAATGATGTAAGGACAGGGACTGGTTTATGGTGATAGCTGCGAGGGGCTCTGCAGGTGATGGAGAAGGGTGGCTCTGATAGGGCTGTGCAAATATCTGGGGGGGGTGAGTCAGCTTGAAGGAGCTGCTGAGGCTGTTTGGGAAGGCAGGTTTGAGAACAGCTACTCCTGAGTGAGCTGATGGAAGCACCAGGACAGGGCCCCTGTGCCCAGAGAGGCAGGCTGGTGGAGCCAGAGCTGTGTTCATTCAAAGAAAACTGTATCAATAACAGTAGGGTTTGGTTTTGTGTTGGTTTTTGTTGTTTGTTTTTTTTTCATTTTAGCCTCATCTTCACTTTATGTCATTGCTCTGAAACAGAATATTCTATCACTGGCTTTGTCTGTATTTGGTTTTATTATTTCTCTGTTTCTGGCAGCCTTTTTCTCTGCCCAGCACACAACAAACAGAGGAGGAGGTGGCTTGGTCCTTGTCCAGCTACTCCTGCACAAAAGTCTGAAGTACCCACAGGGGTGTGAAACCCCATTTTCTCGCAGGAGGCTGAGGAAGGGGAGTGGATGTGGTTGTGTTACTGGATTCAGCAAAGTGATGGCATGCTTAAAAAGATGATGCTGAGCTGAGCCAACAGGACTGTGGCCTGTTACAAGGGTGAGTGTTTTTCCTCCTCGTGAAGTGGAGAGCATTTAAAAGCTGGTTCTGCAGGTGATCCACCTAAAAAAGCCTCCTCCTGCAGTGGGGCAGTGGGATGTGCAGGGAGCAGAGGGCAGTTTGTCTGCACTGCAAGGTGGTTACGTGTCCCACGGCACAGAGCGGCTGCAGGACAGAGCCACGAGAGGTGATGGGAGGAAGATCTGCTGCTGGGACAGGAGGTCACAGCCCTGGAGATCAATGGGATTCAGCAGCACCTGAGAAAGGGAAGCCAAACCAAACCCATGTCACGAGCTCTTGACAAATAAAGTCCTCTACACTGCAAAGCAAATGACTCTGGAGTGTATCTGAGCTGCTTTTCCTTGACCGGCGGGGTCTGCGCGTGGCGGGGAAGGGACGGGGTGGGCAGAGGGGTGAGAGCAGCAACATTTGGCCCCCACTGGGTCCACGTCACCTCAGGATCAAGCAGCAATGGGGACTGAAAGAGAGGAGCTTAAAGCAGTGTGATGTCCCGCGGTGGAGGTGCAGTGTTGTGAGCAAAATGACACCCAGGTGACACCGCCCAGTGTCTCCTGCGCTCCGACAGGACGAGGCAAGTCTGGCTGCCCCTTGCTGCAGGTTCCCAGATTTCGGGGAGGGGTCTCTGAGTGTTTGCTGCAGATAAAATACTCCCAGGGGCTGGGAGGGAGCCTGCCTTCTCGGTGGGCCTGAGCCAAAACCCCCAAAGGGCTTCTGGGAGTGTCCTGGGGTTTGTCACCCAGCGTGGCACAGTCAGTGACCAGCACCAAGCAGGGGCTGCTGTGCAGGCAAGGGATGGTGACAGGGGAAACTCACTTTTGGGGTGTCCATACCTTCTGCTGGGTGCTGCTGTGGCCCAGGAGTGGTGTGAGATCAGGGCAGGACCCGGGCAAGGTGAGGTTTAACCCATGCAACACCAAGAAGGGCGTGAACTGGCCCAGGCTCTGGGTAAGGAGAGTGAGGGTTAAGCCCAGGGGACTCGTGCAGGTCGCAGGGGGGATCTGGGGTCCCTCACCCCCTCCAGAA